GACCGCCCCCTGTCCTATGCCCAGGCCCTCATCCAGGCAGGCTGCGAGGAAACCATCGAGGCCACCGTGCGCAAACGGAGACTGTGTTTCGCGGGCTTTGTTATGCGCACGGAGGACAGCCGCTTCCCCAAGCGCATGTTGTTAGGAGCGATGGCGGCGGGCGTGGGATACCGGGGCGGGCAGGAGAGCGAGTGGGTGTCTCGTCTAGGAGACGACCTCGTGGCCTTCAACATGGGAGACGAAAAGGAAGGGGGTAAATGGAAAGAGAGCGCCAAGGACCCGGAGGTGTGGTACAACAAGGTCGAGGAGGGGGCGGCATGGTTCATGAGGAAATGGCACAGGCAGGAGGCGGAAGCGTCCGCGAAGCGCCAGCGCGCGCGGGAAGCAGAAGCAGAGAGTACGGCCATCTCAGGACCGAAGAGAAAGAGAGCCGGGGAAGCGGCGGTGGGGGGGAAGAAACGGCGACCGGGCACTGCTGAAGAAGCGAGTAGGGCGGCCGAGGCAGCACTTGTGGCGAACTGTGTACCCGGCTGATGTTGTTGCGATCGGTTTCCCTCCCTGCTGTATGCTATTCTCCTTTATGTATGTCCTTTGTATTGCCTTCGGCCTCTGTGCTGTGTTTCATTTTTTTTTTCATGACCTCCCTGCCAACTGTGCTGTGTTGGGTACCTTGATCTCGCTTTGCTGTTGCCTTTGTTTTTTTACGTCTGGTTGTCTGCCCATCTGCCGCCTCTTTGTCCTGTTTGCTCCGTTACTCCCATGCCCTGGTGCGTAGTGCCTGGTGCTGGTACGTTACCCTTTGATTTTTTCTTTGGGCGGGTGTGGGAAGCGTCCTCCTTTTTCCTTTTTTTTCTTAATATGACACAACGAGTCCATCTCTATCATAGAATAGAGTCAGATACAGATTAACAATGGAATCATAGCGTCAGAGAATGAATGTGTTTGTATATTTTGATCGGTTTCCGAGGGCTCTTTTCTCGAACGGTCGGTGCGATACCTGTTCTTTTCTTTCTATCATTTTGTTTTCTTTTTCCGAGTGGTTTGTACCCTATTGTTGTACCCTATTTTTGTTTTGTTTCCCCGCGGCGTCGTATGTGTCGGGTTTTGAGACCACGGGCTCCCCATTTTTTGTGAACAATAGAGCTAATGTGAGAAACAACAACAACAACAACAACAACAAACAAGATGGCTACCAAACTGCCTTGTTGAGCCTGTTACCCGCCCGGGAGATATCGTTGTATGCTGTCTGGGAAACCGTAGACATACAGGTAGCCTTCCACTCACGCTATGGATTCATTGCTAACCTATCTTAGGCTTATTTCTATAGATAGAGATAGATTTGTTGTGTGATATTAAGAAAAAAAAAAAAACACCGCACCAGCAGAAACAAACTGGTCTCCAGCGAGGTTCGACCATTGTTGTTGTCTTCACATTAAAAACCGTTCCGATCTCTCTCTACCCAGTACCTTCGTATGTCCGTACTGATACAACACTCGACGCGGTCGATTCCCGTGGTCGCAGGCTAACTTACCCTAAAAAGGTACACTCAAATAGAATGGCCCCGAAGGGTCCGCAAGTCAATAGAAATTAACGAAAGATATTCTGGAGTCCTCCACTCCCTCTGCGCGCTATGCGAGGTAACAACTGAGACTAGGATTCACCATCACGGGTCGGAGAGGATGAGGTACACCCCCTTGGTTCAATCTTGGTACTTCACAGCGCAAGCCGAGACAAGGCCATCTGGCACAGAAAAAGAGAGAAAAAGAGAAGAAAACAAAAGGAAACATTAAGGAAAGAGAAAATGAAATAAAAAGAGCGAGGACAAAAAGGGACCAGGCCGAAAATAACAAGAAATAAGAGACAGAAAAAGGCA